GGGAATGACACAATTTGAGACCCCCATGGCTCAGGTACAAATGACCACAGAAGGTTCAAGTGGCACCAGGATCATCAGCCGAGTGCTTTGTAGGACCAAGGTTTGGTACCTGGTGCTGATTTGGAGGGGAATGACACGATTTGAGACCCCCGTGGCTCAGGTACAAATGACCACAGAAGGTTCAAGTGGCACCAGGATCATCAGCCAAGTGCTTTGTAGGACCAAGGTTTGGTACCTGGTACCCAGCTTGGGTCCCCCCTCCGTGACACTGCCAGGCAAGAGGGATGGAGTCACACCTGGGAAGGGGAGGAGAGCAGCATCCTGTTCTCCTGATGATCTCTTTGGTCATTAAGAAATGATTACTCTGCCCTGATCCCCTGGAAAGAGACCCATCCTTAGGGCACCATCCAGCACCGCTGCCCCATTGTGGCCTGGGAGAAAACTCAGTTTTGGTTTGCAAGAAGCCCTGGATCTTGATTTTTTTTCTAATCAGTATTACAGTTTGCAAGAGGACTAGGCAACTGAGGCCCACAGCAGTTGGGAGCATCTCTCCGAGCATCGCCCCATCCCGAGAAGCTGGCTGAGCTTCCCTCCTCCATCCCAGGATGTGGACAAGGAGCGAAAGTTGCAGCAGAAAGAAAAGAAAGAATAAAAAAAAAAAAGAAAGAAAGAGACTCACCAGTCTTCTCTTGGGTTTGATCAGGGGCCGGTTCTGCCCGTTCATTTTGTGATAGAGTCCACAGGCGTTACACAAGTAGTGCCCGGTGCCGTCTCTTCTCCACAGGGGGGTTGAGGTAGCCCCACAATTTACACACTCCCTGCCTTCTGGAAACAAGAGAGCACATAGTTCACTTAGGGAAAGCAGAGGTAAAAGGGGCTGAAGAAAAAAGCCCCCCTCCCTCCTCCCCCCCAAAAAAAACCCAACAACAACCCCCTGAGAGCCCCAGTCAGGCCAGACCTTTCCTGTCTTCTCCAAACTCAGGATGTCCAAACAAGGGCCCAAGAACATGGCTGAGAGACATCCCTGACCCAGGCTTGTGGGGGGAGAGGCTGGTGGGACCTGATCTTCTCCCCCTCCCCAACACCACCCTGCAGGTAGCATCAGGCCTGTGTCCCAGCAGCAGGGAAGAAGGATGGTGACAAGGACAACCCAAACCCCACGGTGGCTCGAGGGGTTCCCTGGAGAAGCTCTCACCCTTCTTGCAGGTCCCTTCTTTGGGGAAGGGGGGGGTGGGCTGGCAATCCCCCCTCACCTCTGAACTAAGGGCTCCTGCAGCCCTCCAGACCCCATGTTGCTATATGGACCAGACAAATCTTGGTGGGCTTTGCAGGAGCCTCCAACTCCCCCAGGATGGATGCACGGAGACCAAATTTAAGTCCATAGCCCCCCTCCCTCCTCCCCCCCTAAAAAAACCCAACAACAACCCCCTGAAAGCCCCAGCCATGCCAGACCCTTCCTGTCTTCTCCAAGCTCAGGATGTCCAAACAAGGGCCCAAGAACATGGCTGAGAGACATCCCTGACCCAGGCTTGTGGGGGGAGAGGCTGGTGGGACCTGATCTTCTCCCCCTCCCCAACACCACCCTGCAGGTAGCATCAGGCCTGTGTCCCAGCAGCAGGGAAGAAGGATGGTGACAAGGACAACCCAAACCCCACGGTGGCTCGAGGGGTTCCCTGGAGAAGCTCTCACCCTTCTTGCAGGTCCCTTCTTTGGGGAAGGGGGGGGTGGGCTGGCAATCCCCCCTCACCTCTGAACTAAGGGCTCCTGCAGCCCTCCAGACCCCATGTTGCTATATGGACCAGACAAATCTTGGTGGGCTTTGCAGGAGCCTCCAACTCCCCCAGGATGGATGCACGGAGACCAAATCTAAGTCCCTGCCCAACTTTCTGATGTGTATGAGGACCCCAGGGTCACTCCTTGAGAGCTGCCCCAGCTCCCAGAGGGGTGCATGAGCCAGGGGGGGCTCTACCTTTGGCCTCGGGTCAAACCACATCAAGGAGCCTCAAACGAATCACAGGTCGATAACCAAAACACCTCCCCAGTCCCAGCCAATTCGCAACCACTCTGCCAATATCTGCTATCGATTAATTTCCAATGAAACTTCCACTGCCCAGCCTGGGGAAACTTCTCCGGCGTCTCCACCACATCTGCAGCCTGGTGACAACCCTGATATTTGGGATCCCCAAACAAGCCCCAAGCCCTGATTAAGGTCTTTCCCTCCTTCTTCTTTTTGGGACCTCTCTTTCCTCTCCCTGGGTTATTGGAAGGGGGGGTTGGGGGATGGATGGTGGTTTCCTCCAGCCCACCATCTCCCAGCTTGGAGCTGGAGGGACGCGGGCATTCCTCCCAGCTACTTTCAGAAGGTTGAGTGGGTTTTTGTTGGGTGTTTGGTTTGGTGGTTGGTTGTGTTTTTGTTTTTCTGTTGGGTTTTTTGGGTTTGTGTTGGGTTTTTTTTTGTTTTGTTTTGTTTTTTGGTTGGTTGTTTTTTTTTTTTCCTTACACCTAATGACACTCCCAGCCCATCTGAGAGCAGCAGAAGACCTCAGCTGGCCAGAGCAAGAGCTCACTCAGCAGAGAGCTGGCTCCTCACTGCCCCAGCCCGCGCCGCCTTCGAGCGAGAGGCATCCGCGCCCTAACCACAAACGGCAACCGTTCTTCCAGAGCCTTTGCACCAAACCCCTCTCCTTTCAGCCCCCGAAAACAACCCAAAATAATTAGAAAAGAAACATTTGCAGCCCTTTCTCCCTCTTTCATCCCGCAAAAACATCCCCACCTCCCTCCTTTTCCTCCAGCGCTCTTTGTCTGCGAGCTTCGCAGCTTGCTAAAAATCAACTTTAAGAAGAAAAAAAAAACAAAACAAAATGAAAAAAAAAAATAGGTGTTGCTCCTGGGGTTGGTTTATCACGAACCGCAGATGTCTTTCTAGAAGGTAAAGTAACAGAAAGTGGCAAAAGGAAAACAGGAGGCGGAGGGAGGGGGGGCTGGGGGTGGGCAAGACGGTTTGAAAATACCGCGCAGCCGGTGCCCCGGCGGGAGCTGCGGCTCGACGGGCCCCCGGGGCGGCAAAAGCATCGCCCGGTTTCCACCGGGAGAGAGAATAAACCGGTCCCTACCCCCGACACAGCACCCGGTCCCTACCGGGGAGGTGGGGGG